CTGAAGTTAATCTATTACGGTTAAAAAATCAGAGATAAAAAAAATTACTAATCGTATAAAGAAGAGCAATATTGTATTTACAATTTATTAACTTAACAAGTTAATTGTCTATTACTTATTAATCATATTAGCCAAAACTTCAATTACCAGAAACTAAAAAATTTTTATATTAGTAATCAAACAGTAATCAATGGATTTGCTGATCAACTACTATATGAATATGGAATAGTTCAGGCGCAGACAAATCATATTCATATTCATAAGATCAGCCGCAGTTGTAATATGTCCTGCGGTAAAAAACTTAGTAAGAAAAAAATACATTAAAAAATAAAATTTAGCCGTAGTATAAATCAAATAAAGATACTGTAAGTGACAGTAACATTAGTAATTCACCAATCAACACTTTTAATTATACAATCACGGGACACGTTTCACAATTCAAAGATTATTTATACGGGTAATCTAAACGTTACTGATCTACACAAATTATTTTTATTATATTAATTAATAATATAGATATAGATATAGATATAGATGAAAAAAAGTAATTTAAACAATTTTAGACTAATAAATTTACTTAATAACATTAAATGCTAGGTCGGGTCAGTTATTTGACTCGATTCGTATTAAAATCCCATGTCATTTTATGACTTCAAATATATCCTCAAACCCGACCTGACTCGACCCTTTCTGGGATATTAAAAAATGCATAAGATTGACACAAATTATTTCTAATTTTAGTAAGTACATTAAATCGATTTTGAGCATCTTGATAACCTTGTTTAGCGGATTGTTCATACCAATAAATTGCTTTGTCTATATCTTTTCCGATTCCTTCTCCTTTTTCATGCATCAAAGCAAGATTATATTGAGCTATTTTATTCTCTAAACTTGCTGCTTTTCGGTATAATTCAACTGCCTTTTGTATATGAATATTAATGCCAATTCCATTATGATAACAATATCCTAACATCATTATTCCACCTGAGTATATTCCTTCAGCTGATTTTTTGTATAATTCAAAAGCTCTTTGATGATTTTCTTCAACACCATCTCCATTTCTATAGGAATTCCCAAGATTGCACATAGCTATCAAATGTCCATTAATTGCAGCTTTTTCATACCAATCTGCAGCCATGCTAAAATCTGTACTAACACTTAATCCGTTTTTATAAAACCAACCTAGTTTAAATTGCCCAATTGCAAAATCTTTATCGGCTAGTTTTTTATAATATTCGAATGCCAATTTATTATTTATTGTAGTTCCATTTCCAAATTCATGGCATTCTCCAACAAAATATTGTGCTAATATGTGACCCTTTTCAGAGGCATCAATAAATAAACTAAATGCTTTCTCCTCATCCTCAGTTATTTCAATTCCATAATAATTAAAATATCCCAGAAAAAAAATGGAATTCGGATTGATTTGATTATTTAATAACCAATTATAAATTTCATATAAATTTGTATTATAAATATTTATAATCATAAGGACGTATTCTTTTGTTACATTTCCTTTGTTCAGCCCATTAAAAATACGATTAATTATTTCATCAATTATCATATTTAAATTCTTCTCGTTTTGTTGATAAATATTTACACCATTTGAACATGAAATAAATCCTTTTAGTCTACTAACAACTTCTTTTATAGATGGTCGTTTGTTTGGTTCACCATTCCAACATTCTAATGATCAAATATATATAATTGATTAATAAATATTAATTAAAAATAGTCAATGCATTCTAATCATACTTACCAGTATAAAGATTAGAATAATCACTAGGTGTGTTAGAAATAATCTCTTCTCTTTGACCTTGCGAAATTTTATACATTAAGCTAAAATTATAACTCTTCCCATGAAATGGTGGATACCCACTTGATATTTCCCATAATAGTACACCAATACTATATATATCACTTTTCTCATTTAGGTTTAAATTGTCATCCATTAGTACTTTTGGATCAATGTAGGGAACCCTACCAAATAATTTTGTTTGTGAATTAGATGCTTCTTCAATCCATTTTGATAATCCAAAATCGGCCAACTTGATGGAATTCTGATGAACCAACACATTACAAGAATGCTATTGTATAATATGAAAAATATTATTAAATTAAATAATATGTATTGACATATTATGCTAAAAAAAAATTACCAAATCTCGGTGAACAATTTTTTCATCATGTAGGCATGATATAGCACAAGCTAATTGATATGCCAATTTATATTTATCATTCCAAGTAAGTTTATTAAAGTTTTTATTCAAATAGTCACGAAGAGTACCACTGTCTGCGTATTCCATTACCAGTAAATATCCTTTTGTTGGATTAAATATATTTTCTAATAAAAATAATAATTATCAAATTTTTGTACAAAAAAACTTATTTCAATCAATTTTGACAGTTACAATTCGTTTTTTAATATACAAAGATTTATATAATCTTACCAATACTTGACCCAAATTTTGTAATTCCATAGAAGCGTATAATATTACCATGAAAATCTACACCTCGTTGAAGTGTAAGCTAAATTATATTCATACAATAATAAGAAAAATTAAATCATATAAAATGAATACGCGATAAATAAAATAATCATTTTAGGAATATGCGATCAAATTTTTTAATAATAGATTACTTCTTTAACAGTTTCTTTTAAGGTAGCATCGTTAAGATTTAAAAAAGATTTTAACGCTAAATATTGCTCAAAATTTTTCCAATTTGCTCGGAATACCTTTCCGAATGCTCCAGAACCGATTTCTTGTATATTGCTAAAGTATTCAAATTCATAATATTTAATATGTTTTTTATTAATAGCATCTTCAATCCAATTAATCCATTCATTTGTTTTTTCGTTGTTCTGCATTTCTTTATAATCGTTGTTTTAGAAATAGTGAGAAGTCCGAAAACAATTCTATTTATGATTCGTCATATTTATATGCAAAAATAAATTAATTGTTTACAAATAATGTCACGAGCACTCACTGGTGATCTTCCAACAAATCAAATACCGTTGTAACACCAACAATTTTATAATTAAAATTCTATCCCACATGACCGGTAACATTTAAGGGGACGTGTAAAAAATAATTTTGGAAAGCAAAAAAAACCAAGTCCCTCAGATAAATATAACGTGATGCCGGTGATGAATATTTTCAGGGGTAGAAAATTTGTTGGTGATCAACAAATTTTCTTCCCGCGTGACTTCTTATAATTTGTCATCCCGCATCACCCTATTTTTCAACTATTTGTCACATTATCTGTCACATAGACTAATTTGGCCAAGTGGCGGCCAAAAAATCACGTGGGTAGAAATTTTATTGGTGATATTGGGTAAATTCACTAGTGACACATTGAAATTTTCAGTGATAAAAAAATCTATCCGTTACGAACTATCTGTTACTGTCCATTTAATGCATAAAGCCGGCCACTTCGCATACCTAAAATGTAATCAAAGGATTATGGACGTTACATGAAACGGAAACTGTTATGGTGTGAAAATAATTTTTTTCGTTTATTAAAACATCTGAATATTATATTTATCTTTTACTGTATATCTTCTAAAACTTTCCTGCAAAATTTACTAATAAATAAAAATACCGGTAAGAGATCTAATAAACGTAAACTTTCCGAGTTTTATGTATACGTTGCTAAATTTAAATTTTTAATTAAATAAACCATTAATTTAATTGTTAGGTAAAATAATTTTTATGGATTAAATATTGAAATAAAAATTTAGAATGATTATATGAACTGATGATAAAAATATTACTTCTGATATATTTATGAATTATTGAATTACACCGCATTTTGTTAAATGGATAGATATTTTTTTCGCAGGATATGTGAGATTTATATACTAGACTATAAAATCCTCAAGAATAATATTCTTGGAAAACTGCTTCGACCCAAAAAATCCATTAATTCAATTGGATAAAGTTAACCTTTAATGAAATAGTAAAATAAAAAAGTTTGTATTTTATTTAGATAATATATTATTTGCTGTACACCTTGTATGAAAATCAAATAAATCATACCACAACTGTCATGATTACATGATTATTTGATAAGGCACAATATGTCTGGATACCAACTAACCTGTTAAAAAATGATATTTAAAAAAAATTAAAAAATAAAGTTTTTGGTTAAATAATTTAAATGTTTACAGTATTTATTAAATAATCCACCCAAACAGAAAAATAAAAATTTTATCATTTTTTTCGAGATTTTTATGTTATTTTTTTATTAAGAAAAAAAAAATCAACTTCTGATGAATATTTTTTTAAAAAAAAATCGGGATTTTTTTTTTTTTTGGAATTAAAATTAAATTACAAATTTATATATTTTATATAATAAAAGTACAAAGTAATATAATTCTTTTTTGAGAAAAAAAGATATTTTTTCTTTTTTAAAAAAAAAAATTTCATCAATTGTTTCGAACGGACAACAGAACAATAATATAATTCTGTTGATCTGGGTCTAACGTACGTTACGGTACACTCGAGTTAAATAGGAATAGATTTGAGAATGGAATTCATGCATGTGTATTGATAATAAAAATTGTAAGAAATTAAATAAAACAAAAAATTTTATTATTTTCACGTTTATGATTACATTAATTTGGGAATAAAAGATTCTTATTTTATAGAAGAATTAATAAAAAAAATTTGAAATTCTTTTTGATATGATGGATGATTTTAGTCCAAAAAAATTCTGTTGGCGTCCTTGTCCCTTCTGTAAATGATCCATGGATTTTGGCGTCTTGGCGCTTTTTTTATTCCTTTTTTTCTGTTCCTCTTTGCTCTTCGAGTAGTTTCAGAGTTTCGTACTAAAATTTCAGGAGGTAAAGTGAATTTATAACGTGTATTTTCCAAGATTTCGGTGGTAGTTTTGCCAAAGTCAAAGAACGTCACTTTGCTTGGGTCTTTAATATATTAATATTGAGGCCAGTTATTATATTCTATAAGGTTATAATTATTACATTATAAAAAGTTAAGCATTATTATTACGTGCATTTTTTGAGTAATTTACCAAAATTAGGTGTAGTGTAAAATGATATAAATAAAATATAATATTTTTTTTAGACAATTATTTATGAATTATCTTTAAGCTCTCTTAGTACTTTTAATTTATTTTGAGCCTTTTTAAATCTTTGTTTAGCAGATTGTTTATAAAAATAAATTGCTTGATTTATATCTTTTTCAATTCCTTCTCCATTTTCATACATCAAAGCAAGATTATATTGAGCTATCTTATGTCCCATATTTGCCGCTTTTTGGTATAATTCAACTGCTTTTTGTTTATCAATATTAATTCCTATACCATTACTATAACAATAAGCTAACATCATTATACCATCTAAATATTCTCCTTCAGCTGATTTTTTATATAATTCAAAAGCTTTTTTATGATCTTCTTCAACACCATCTCCTTTCTTATATAAAAGGCCAAGATTTTGCATAGCAATGAAATGTCCATTATTTGCAGCTTTTTCATACCAATATGCAGCTAATTTATAATCTTTTTTAACATTTTTTCCTTTATTATAAAACCAACCTAATTTAAATTGTCCAATTGAATAATCTTTATTGGCTACTTTTTCATAATATTCAAAAGCTAATTCATCATTTTTTATAATTCCACTTCCATATTCATAACATTCTCCAATACAATATTGTGCTAATATATGATCATCTTCTGATGCATTAATAAATAAATCAAATGCTTTAATTTCATTCTCATTTGTTACAATTCCATAGAAATTAAAATATCCAAGTAAAAAAATTGAATTTGGATTATTATTTTGATTATTTAATAACCACTTATAAATTTCTTTTGATTTAATATTATTATTTTTAAGATGATCAAGAACATAATTTTTTGTTGCATCTCCTTTTTTTAATTTTTCAAGGATGAGATCATTTATTTCATTAATAATCATAATTAAATCCTTTTCGGATAAAATATTCTCATTAATTTTATTTGTTGATGTCATATTATTTATTTCATCTGAATTTTTATTATCGAAATCATGAATCATTTGTGATAAATCCTCATGTAATGAATTTTCCAAACTATCTGGGGTTAAATATTCATATCTTCTACGTTTTGAACGGGGAGTAAAATTTTTTAGTCTATCAACAACTTCATGTATAGTCGGTCGATTATTTAGCTCACCATTCCAACACTCTAATAAACAGAAATATATATTTAACTAATAAATCTTAAATGAATAAAATAAAAAATAACACTTACCAGTATAGAGATTAGAATAATCATCAGGAGTACCAGAAATAATCTCTTCTCTTCGACCTTGTGAAATTTTATACATTAAACTAAAATCATAATTCTCTTCATGAAATGGCGGTTTCCCGCTTGATATTTCCCATAACAGAACACCAATGCTGTATATATCACTTTTCTCATTTGATTTTAAATTGTTATCCGTCAATACTTTTGGATCAATATAGGAAACCATTCCAAGTAATTTTGTTTGTGATTTAGATGCTTCACCAATCCTTTTTGATAAGCAAAAATCCGCCAACTTAATGGAATCTTGATGAACCAATACATTACAAGAATGCTATTATAATATTCAAATAATAAAAATAAATTAATAATTATTGAAATCAATATATTTTTTTTTAATCTTAATACTGAAAAATAAAATACCAAGTCCCGATGAATAATTCCTTCTTCATGTAGACATAATATAGAACGAGCCAATTGAGATGCCAAATTGTATTTATCATTCCAAGTAAGTCTATGGAAGTTATTCTTCAAATAGTCACGAAGCGTACCACCATCAGCGTATTCCATTACCAATAAATAATCTTTTGTTGGATTAAATATATTTTCTAATAGAAATAGTTATTAATAATTATTTCATAAAAAAAGATTTATTTCGTTCAATTTTGGTTGTTGCAATCGTTATGTGATATTACCTGACGCATGTTTTGTAATTCCATAAAAGCGAATTATATTATTATGAAAATCTACATCACGTTGAAGGTTAATCTAAATCATGAACATATTTTAATTAAAATAAATTTGAAGAAAAAAAAAAAATTAAAAAAAAATATGAATATAAAGAGTACATAAAATAAATATTTTTAAAATATTGTATCCAATAGAATCTTTTTATTAAATAATAAAATTACCTCATTAACAATTTCTTTTAAGGTAATTTTGTTAAGATCATAAAAAGATTTTAACGCTAAATAATGATCAAAACTTTTCCAATTTGCACGAAACACCTTTCCGAATGCTCCGGAACCAATTTCTTGAATATTTTTAAAATTTTCATATTCATAATTTTTAATATGTTTTTTATCGATAGCTTCTTCAATCCAATTAATCCATTCATTTGTTTTTTCACTATTCTGCATTTTATTATATTATTATTGTTATTATAGGTATTATAGGCGTAGTGGGTATAAGCAATAAAATTTTTGATGTAACCGTCAAAGAAAAAAATATTCTATTTATGGACTTGTAATGAATGAAACAAGTGAAACGTTTTACTGAATACCGAGTGATCAGCCGACCATTAACATCATAGTAAATACATAGCTAATGATTTTCACGACTGCGCCGTGAAAATCATGATATTTGTGTGACATGTGAATTGTGAAATAACTCTCTGAGACTAACGTCCAGTGATGGGAAAAAGTGGACTAAAAAGTGGGAAAACAATAAATAAACTATAAAAACACATGAGCATGAAATATTGAAATATAATCAGAAAAATTATAGGCATGAATATATCATCAAAAAAATCACTGGATAAAATAATTAAGCATTTATTTGGTTAAACAGAATTATCGGAAAAACCGAAGTGATTATTTTGGTAAATTAAGAAATTTCATAAATTTATTTTGTTGTATTTTTTTTTTTTAATTAATATTGTGATAAATTTTTACATAGAGATTTATATTTTTTGAATAATTATAATTAAAATTAAAAATCACTGAATTTAATTCTTTTTTACTTTATTTATTTGTTTATGCGGGCTATGTTTAATTTTTTTATAAATTATTCATAATTTTTTAATAAAATCCTTACGTGCTCGATTCTATAGTCTATACTATGCATTTTGAATATCACATGATCGGCAATCATTTTTTGTGCATCATGGGCATCAATTTCAATAAATTAAATGAAAAAATGAAAAAAAATATTTTTATTTAATAGAATTTTTTCAAAAATAATTAATTTTTAATTAAAAAAAATGATGTACACGAAAATTAAATGAAAATAATATGAAAATTGTTGAAATTAATTATAGTATACTACTTTAACGAATAAATTTTAATAATATTTTGCGTCGTCAAAGAACATGTTGCAATTACTGTATTAATATTTTGGTTTCAAAATATAGAATTATTCACTAATAAAAGTTTTACATTCATAACATAAGTTATTTACTACCAGATTATCATAAGATTTGCCCAAATGTTACAGAAACCTTCAAAGACAAAGTAACTTTTAAGAAAAGAAATGTAAAATTTGATTGAGCTAAAAGATATCCTTAATAATTTATAATTACCTAATTTGCTATTTGTTATTTAAGAATTACTGTAATAAAATCATTTATAAAAGAAATAAATAAAAAATGGTGGAAAACTGGAAATTGATCAATTCATCATAATACAGTATTATTAACAAATAATATGATTTAACAAACTAGTGTTATTTGAATAATTTAATGAAGTACAAAAAAAATCATTACCATAATTAGTATATTATTAGAGGATTGATAGGCGAAGTTTGCTATATTTAATTTGATTACGCTTAGATAACGCTATTTACTTTATTGCCTTTATTAAATAAAAAGTTATTATAATATACAATACATAAAACTTTGTATTTTACTAAAAAAACCGACTGCTCCAATTTAAATATTAACTATCGTTGATAGTCATTAGCTGTTTTCCAAGTTTTATTATGGTCAGAAAAAGATTTGGAGCAGTTTGATTACCGGCCCCAGTAAATTTATTTTAATGATATATTATTAATGGAATAATTACAAACGTAATTAATTCCACTTCAACATTGGGTCAATAAAGTATATATCTAAATACAAAATTTGATAAAAACTTGATTAAATTTTGATCTCCTTTATTATAGTATTAAAATTACTCTATTTACTCGCTATCACTTCTTCCCTTTCTCCCTGACCGTTTATAATACGTTTATTATAGACCCTTCTGTTAACCCTATTGCTAAAAACCTCGTTTAATTTGTTAAATTCTTCAACTTTATTATTCCTGTTTAACGTCAAACCCGTTAGACCATCCGTCGCTTCGTAAACTTGTTCCTCTTCCGACAGAATGTCAACACTTTTGTTTGACGTCTTATGCGACGTCCTCAGAAAAGTTCGTTTTTTGAAATTACCGTTACTATTTATTAATTTGTCTTGTCATTTGACTTGAAATCCTGTACCTAAATCATCTTCCATCACAGATTTATATATGGTAATGATTTTACCATCTGTTTCTTCGTTATTATTCTTCAGTTTCTTAAATGCTTGCCAGCAAAACTTCGAACTTATTTCACGTGCCGTCAAACCAAACATTCTAAAAAAATATTCCTGATCATTTTTACTAATTATAATGTTAGAGCCTCCTCGCGTAAATAATTGTTCGTAGGCTTTAGTAAACTAATTTTTGCTTTGATCGTTTTATATTTATGGCTATGTTTGACTTTAAATTGTAATGTTCATAAATTTTTTTTCAAAACCAATAAAATGTGATCTCACGTGATTTTTCCATTTGTGTATCCTAATTTTTCCGATTTTTACACCTCCAGCGTGAAGAATCGGTAACTCGTGTCATACTCCCTCTTCTATGCTAGATCTTTCATTTTTCCCGAAATTATTCTAACTACTTCTTTTTCTAATTTAATTCGTTCTTTTACCGTATACCGTTACATCAACTTCTAATTCTCTAACACGATTTTCCAAATTTGTAATTATTTCCTTATATTTATCCATTTCCTCATTTTTGCTCAGTATTATTCGTTCCTTGTTGATTACCTCATTTTCCAAATTATGAACATTCTCTTCCAGCTCACGTGATATAGAGTCGTTACTGAGCTGAAAATTTTGTTTGAGAAAGTTCGTAAAATTTTTCTTGAAGACTTCGCCACTCCATTTTAATATAAAGGTTCCAACTTAATATGCGTCTAAAGGACGTTCAACTCCTGGCGAGAAAATTTCTGGCGGTATATTCTTTCACAGTCTGCTTTTCGTATATGTTTCTTAAAACTTTACTTCTAACCCCCTAAAACCCCTATAAACTCGTTCAAGAATTTGTAATTATTTCTTTCTGCATTGAAACTATGTTTTGTGACATTTTTGTATATAGTTTTGATTGATATTTCTTCCGTAAAATTTTTGTTTCAGAAGATCAGCAGAAAGAGTGTTTGAGTATTATTTTATGATAAATTAAAGTGCACAATAATTAAAGTAATTTAAGGTAAATGTCTTATATAATAAAGGGTTTCGAAGAAAATAAGTTAATAAGATAAGCCTAGAAGATTTTCTAATAAAATTATGATAATGTATATATATATATAATTTATTTATCAACTCAATCTTTTCATAGATTCAAAAAGTAAATTTATTTATTATGCCCATTTAATTATCCGAATTTTCTTTCAGTCTTTCATTTTATTTGTTTGATTTTGTTACATTGAAACCATTATTTGGATTCAATACAATAGTTGTATTTATATTAAAGCTAATATGTATGTGACACTAGACGATGTAATTAATACCTTGTAGGACAAATTAAGCCAAATTATTCTATCTCATTCAAGGTCTCCTTCCATGCCTCAGCATGTGCTAAAACAATTTCAAAGCGAAAAAGAAGAAAAATAAAGTATAAGAATACAACAAGACAAACTATCACCATATATTGAAAAACAAATCGTCTCACACAGTTCCTCATAAGTGGTAATAGAGCTACTCTTGATCTTACTCTTTGTGATACTTTTGTGATTGTCATTGAATTTTATATTAGGCTTTTCAGTGAAATTATCTATAATTGTTTGAATTTCTTTATTAGTAAACTTTGTTATTTCATTCGCACTGTATGAGTTAATATATTGATTTTATCAATCCTACCCTTTTAAATAGTTTGTAGAGCTTTACAGCCCTTTTTTACGCAAACTATCTCTTGAAGTGATGATCCTGTATCTTAACATCTCGACGAAGTTCCCCATTGTCTTCCAAATTACTTTAGTAAGGGCGATGTGATAGTCAGCTTTTGTGCAATAAATCCTTTCCGTGAGGAAATGCCAGTCCGTGGCTAAAATATATGGCATCCACCCATCAGAGTTAGCAAAATTTTTATGAACATAAAAAAAGCGAAGTAAAATCTCACCTGTAGTAACGATCTCATAGAGGTAGTCGAACTCATCATTGAAAGCTTCAGATGCCTTCCTTTTTCTCACGTTCGTTTGGTAGGAGCTTTCGAGTTGCATAAGTTCCATGAAACCCGCCACAAAATCCTTTTGTTTTCCCTCTGTTACGGATATCAGCTCCTCATTAACAACAAAGTCTATTAATTTTTGATTACGTAATCAACTACACCAACAACTTCTCCTTACTTTTTGACATATTTGTTTGTGATAAATTTTCTCTTCCTCCGTTTATTATCCTTTCATTAATTATTTCTCCTGGTTGTTCTGATTCTTTTGTCATTATCATAATATGATTTCTGAATCTCTGCTCAGACATCTTGAGGAGCGCAAGATCATCATCCTCTTTTCATTTTCTAAAATTTCTCATTAAGCCCTAAGTCTTGTTCCTGGAAAAGACAAAGTTCAGCCGTATTACATTTTTAGCTTACCTGAGTGGCTCGTTTCCAATTGCTGTAATGGAGGATGCAGTTTCAGACATAGTATTACATTTTTTTTTATAGCTTCAGTGCGAAAATTATTAATCACAAATATTACATCAGAAATTCATAAATCTTCGGAAGTTAATAAAATTTCAACTTTGCTATATAAATTTAATTTCTTCATTTTGTATCCTTGTGTCTATAATTTATAACGAAAAAATTAGAAAAATCATTAAATAAATTAAATAAATTAAATAAATAAATATTTATTGATATTAACTTAAATTGTTACTTACACGAAAGGAAAATGCGAAGGGTAATTGCTTTTACTTGAAATTAAAAAAAAAAGTGAAAAAAAGCTGATTACGACGGGATTGAAGTACACAAAATCACAAAGTATTGATAAATTCATAATGCTTGTTTATTGATATTCGAGTTTTTTTCATTTTAGCAGTTCGATTTGATATTGGGTATTCGTGGAAGGGAAATTGAATTACCAAAATACTGTGTTCTATTATCATTTAGTATGTGTAAATAACATTTCAACATTAAGGAATTGATACCCTAACCCTTAGGTCTAAGAATTTTTTTAAAGCTAATCGTACGTAAGACTTTTAACAGCCTTGATAACTCGAGAGATCACAAAAATCATTCATATTGAGTGAAATATTTTGGACTATGACAACCCACTAATGCAAAGTATTTAATAAAGCAAGTACTTAACTAATATTGACCAACGTGATCAACATTTGTGTAATGCGCGTAATGATTAATTGATTATAACGCGTAAACAATTTTACATCATATAATATGACTCATATGACTCACAGTATATATTTTAATGATTTTCCCATGAGAAATAAAATCACTTTTTCTTTTCTCTCCGTCTCCAAATTTTTTTTTCCTTTTGATATTATTTCTCAAACTTATATTTAATATACAAGATTTTTATTCTTATTCATTTTTGTAAAAAAAGCCTTGGAAGACTATTACTTAACAACAAACAATGAAGATAAATATTCTTGGACTTTTTATTATTTTGGTAAGTGAAAATGACTAAGCTGGGATGTATAAGGGAGTTGTGCACCTAGAGTGCTTTGGTTATCCTCCTCTTCTAGAAGTCTGGTTACCTTAATGAGAAAAATAATGGAAAAATAATAATATCTCAAGCTATGTCGCAGACTTCTGTATGTGGGGCCCTTCCCTTTGGTGGTGGGTCTCATGTCTTATTATCAATGTGACAGTACCTCTGCACGAGTTTGATCACTCACGATATATCGTTAATGTCAGTTGATAGTAGGCATGGGGGCTTGAATCTGTCTTTTCTACAAAGCTTACTTAGAGTACTCGAGTCTTCTAACATATTTTTTTACCATTTAATCTATTTTTTAGATTACTTAGGCAATAAAAAACCTAACAAGAAAGTTTTAGAAATCTTTCTAAATTTGAGGAATAGTTTTTTATAAAAAAATGAATTTTACTATTGAAATAATGTGAGAGTTTTTTTTACAATTTGTACTTTATTTGTAATTATTAACATATTAATAAATAATTCAAATATTATTTTAATATTCATGCAAATTATTATTTATTTTCGTTTTGAAAGATTGCAATTTACAACTGAACGTATGTTTAATTTGTTTATGCTCATGATTTTATAATAATAAATATTAAATGTATTAATATGGAGAAATATTAATATAGCAGAAGCCGTAACAATTTACTGTATGTAGAGTAGCTTAAAAGAAAACAGATTTACAGAACTTGGAAGTAAAGTTTTATATTGTTTTCTAAATATTCAAGCAACTTTTATGATCTTCAACTGCGGCGATGATACAGTGGATTTAGCAACACGTGAACTATTAGAAAAATATCAATTAGTACCAGTTTTTTTGATTTTCAGCAGTAGCTAAAACTTCAACGGATCCGAAAGATAAAGTAAATAAAATTATTATGTCCTCCATGTCTTCAATATCTTCATTCTTTGGTAATTCAATCTCCCAATTGCGAAGTAAACTCACTCTGGGATCATTACAAAATTATGCATCAGTATTTCTTGTAACGTACATATTAAACTCAATTTTTTGTTGCGTTATTGAACAAGGTTCAAATGCTTTAATAACTCTTTAATTTACTGGAACTTGTTCACCTCGTTTTGTGAGTGCGTCGAAAATTATAGATAAATCATTTGGAAATTTCTCCGATGCTGGATCATCTGATTGGGATGCTCGTGCAATATCGGTTCCTATAATTAAATGCTTTAGATTTTCATAAAATACGATATGCATCTAAATAGATTAAAAAATTTGTTATACCGTATGTTCTTATTAAGACACAATTCACGACCTTTTCTTCTTGAAGTCCAAACTGAACTCCAATGGCAATAATAGGATGTATTGGTACGCCAAATTCTTGTCTAATTCTAGCTTGTAAGTATCTAGATTTATTAAATACACCAGTTAACATCAGAGCCGAACATTTTTTATTCCTCTTTTCTAGTTGTCCTCTTATCAATCGAATAATTCTTCTTATAACTGGATCAAACATCGCTTTGATATCTTCGAATTCGATTTCTATCAACCAATCGGCTTCTTCTAACCGATTTTTCTCTTCTCCAGCAGTAACATACTGTTTTATTAATTTATGATCATCTAAATCAATATCATAAGATTGAAAAGATTTTAACACGTCTACAAAATTCTTGTATTATATATTGCAATAGACTATTTTAAGATTTCACCTAGAAATTTTTACAAATTCTTGATCTATTGTCACATGTACCGATCAAAATAACCAGAACTTCAGTCATTTTCTATAAAAAATGTCTCTTTTTTAAGTTGGATATCATAAACTTCTTCATCACCTTTTATAATATTTCTTTTGTGTAATTTTTGTGTTGTTGTTTCTTTAGAATATAATTTAATTAATACCTATGAAACTTGGTCCATAGTATCTCCCGTACATTCTGTTACTTCGCTCATCTTATTGCCAGCCGTGTTGTTAAATCTACCGTGTCACCGCAACAATCATAAACGAAGCTATTGTGATTGCCAAAATAATTTATTCAATGGAGAATTATTATTTAACAAAATGAGATGTTTTTATCATACCTCCTGTACTTAAATTATATTGTCCCTTCATAGAATTCAAACAATATATTGCGACAGCTTCAGCTATTTTTCAAAAAAAAAAAAAAAAAAGATTTTGATTAATTTCCGAATTATTAAATAAACCATATATATGAATTACATACGTTCTGTCGCAAATTTTAAGTTTCTACTAAACTTGTCTTTAGTCAGTTCTGCAGTAAAAGCATGATATTCACGCATAGTTGAGATTGCATCATCATCAAATTCTGCCGGTACCTTTGGTAAACAATTAGTAGAAAAAAGCAATATTAATTAAAATGAATTTCGAATTTTTTATGAATAAAACATATGTATATATATGTAATACCGTAAATATAGTTAAAACTTGTCTGTAAAATCCCAAATTTTGCCACTTACTAACGCAACTAATTTTAACCATTTCGGCCAATTTTCCTAAATAATCTGTGATAACTTTCTTATATTCCAATCCTTCCGATAAAAAAGGTTTATCACTTAATTCTTTTATTAAATGTAATTTAAATAATCAGAATACTTTTTTTGTTTTTCCGCTAAGGCAGGAAATCCCCAAGATTTTACGACTTTATACTTTTCGTCATATTTAATAACGGTCGGAGTTTTATAATGCTTCAAGTCCTTCCCAGTTTTTTTGTACAATTATCTCATTTGGATTAGACTTATGCGCATAAGCATAACCCCTCTTTTAATTGTTTTAATTGAAAATTTTGATTAATTAGAACCATCCAAATTTTACAAATTTAATCATTAAATATTGGAAAGCTTCACAGAATAAGTTGTTCCAAAGTCTGGATGTATTATATAAGGTTAATAAATGTTAATTGAGAGATTATTTTATCTAATAAAAATTGAATTTATTATGATAAACATACCGATGGATACTACAACTCGAATATCATTATCAAGCCGTGACATCTTTTTTTTCTTTTAACAGGAAAAAACTGAGACAGTATAAAGTATAAACAGATGCAGATCAGATTAAAATATTCAAACTATACTATTTAAAAAATAATCATTGCTATTTAAAGAGTAATCAAATTCTTTGTTTACACATGACCTTGATAAAGCAATTTGGGTTAATTCCGGTTTCTAATCCCGTTTTATGTGATAAATAAGATTTTCTGGTAAAAAAAAATGTCGGGTTGCTCAGATTTCCGTGTTGTGGTCGGTCTAGGTAAAATAGAGATTTTCTTTTAAGAATTATCAAATTTAATATTTAATTATTGATTTTTTTTTAAATAGACTTTGGGACCACTTTTTCGGTATGTTATTTTGAAATTTATTTCATTTGCATTTACATCAGAATTGGTTTGTATAAATATTTATTCATATTTTTTTTAAAAAAAAAATAATAAAACATACTTCGCGAATTTTTTCTTTAATTTTTTTTTTCGAAGTGGCACTAACTCGTGATTGGTGGCTAAGCCACAACAGATGCCAAGTGATCGACAAAACTCGAACTATAATTAACAACGTTAGTGACGTCATTCCGAAAATTAATATAAATCAGGCTTAATAATAAAATATGATTACACAAATACCTTTTTTTTTCTTTCTTCGTTTACAATGTCATGTTCAAAAATATTTTCAGGAGATTTACCAGAATTAACATATGAAGTTATGAAATATTTCCAAAATGATTTTTTAACTTTATATTCATGCATTTTAGTTAACAGATTATGGTGTCGTTTAGCGATTCCATTATTATGGGAAAATCCATTTTCAATTCCTACAAAAAATTACAAATTTATTGAAATTTATTTACAAAATTTAAAGGATAATGATTTTAAAACAAAGTCAAAGATATATAAAATTGATGATAATTTATTTTATTTAAATACACTTTTTAATTATCCTAATTTTATAAAATATATAAATTTATTGAAGGTTATTAAATCTGTTGGAAAGTGGTTTGAAGATTCTGTCAGAACTTTAAAATCTGGAAATAGATATTTTTTACAAAATCCAGATAAACTTTCAACATTTAATTTTAAAAGATTAATTTATATATCATTATTTAAAATATTTATTGAAAATGAAGTAAATTTAAATATTCTTAACATTGATATCTTCCCTATTTCCAGTTATGTAACCTACTATTATGATATTTTTGTATTAATTTTACAAAATTCAAATTTCATCCACAATATTAAAAATTTGAACCTTTATATTGGTAGTGAGCCATCTAGTGTCTTAATCTACAACAATAATAGTGAAAATGCATTAATTAAAAGTCAAATATTACAAGTAATTAATTTACATCAAAATCTTAAAAAAATTATATTGGATAATGATAGTTTCCCTTATTATCAATCATTATTTTTATCAAAAGAATATAATTGTTCAAATACTTTAAATACGATAATACTATATCAAGTCAATTTTAATAGTATAATTAATTTAGATAAAATATTTGAACAATTAAATGTTTTAGAATCTGTTCATATTTCTTATTGTTTTCCTTTAAATAGTAACTTTATTCAACAAATTATTAATTTAACCAAACCGTTTAAACTAAAGTCTTTATTTATAGAAGGAAGATTACAAATCAATTTATTAGAATTATTACTACAAAAATCTGGTGATTATTTGGAAAATTTCGCTGTATCTGGATTTAGTCATTATGATTCATCATCAAAACGACAATTAATAGGATTAATTACTAAATATTGTAATAATATCAAATTTCTTGCTTTATATGGATTTGAAACCCAGATTACTCATCTAATTGAAAGTATTAACCGTAATCTTAATTATCTTTCAATCCTCATCAATGAAATTTATCGAGATCATAATGTTGGTTATAATTCAACTTTTCTACAAAATTTAGGACAAATTCTTCCTTCTAAACTAGAATACTTGAGTTTATCTCTTTTTATTAAAAAAAGTGATTTTAAAATATTCTTAGAAAATACTCAAAATACTTTTATTAATAGATTGGTAATAGTGCAACAAAGTGAAGATGATATTTTACATTATATAAAGGAATTTATTATGAAAGAAAAAAGAGTCAAGTATTTGGCTATTAGGAATCTTAGAAATATACTAGATTTGTCAACTTTAAAAGATGAAGTGAATGAATTCATGTTATATAATATTATAGTTCTAAATTTTTTTAAATTATATTTACATGTTAGGAATTATGAATTTGTAAAGAATATTGATTATTATTCATAAAGATGAATATTATCTACAATATTTGTAATATTTATAAATTACTACAAATAAATAATATTTTATTGAGAAATACTTTTTTATTCATGACAATTTTATAAATTTATAAAAATTGAAATCCACTTTTAAGAAATGATCCTAGAGCTGTATCAGTCCGGTCCAGTCCAGTCCCAAGAAGGCTTCTTAAATTTTTTTAAAATAAAAACTAATGGTAGATCAGTCTCAAAATTGGTCTGCAGTATAAATCATATTTAACGCTATATTTGAAAAAGAATTGAATAATCATGGATCAATTAACAAATTATAAATATAAAAATTACTTAAAATGATACATTTTTAAATCAACAAATACCATCTATAATTGAATTAAAGAAAGATATATGAGAAATGCAGCTAAAGTAATTAAAGCGACTAAAAAGGATATGTAAAAAATGGTTTTGCTTATTAGAATCTAATTGCTATGACCATTGATTTAACTAATTTGTAACACAAAAAAATAATTTAAACTTTTTTTTACAGATAAAATAATGTGGTATAAAAAATTTTTCTATAATTACTGCTGATACTAATTATATTATTTAATTTCATTATTTTTTTTTATTTTTCTGTTGTACTTGTAAAAAAAAAAATAATTATTATAGATTAAAAAAATTTTTTATCACTATGAAGTCAAGTAAACAAATAATTCTTTGTTCTTATTTATTAGCAAAAAAATTCTACCGATCATTTTTACGCTCTCCAAGCTAAACAAATTTGGCTAGATAAATAAAAGAAAAATAATTTTTTAAAAATATTAGTAATCAACAAATAATAAAAAAAGAAAAAAATTGCGAACTAACTTGTAATATGTCAATCATTATTTAGATTCATAATTTACGTATTTGAATTTGCCGATTCAAATCGATTCATCGTAAGAATTTTCATGTAAATATCCAAAATCAATTTAAACAATATTTTATTTTATTTTTTTTTTATTAAAAAAAAAAAACTAAAGCAAAATCATTAGTACAACCTGTTAATAATGAAATTAATACTTTAAATGGTGTGACTAAAATAAAATAAAATAAAATATTGTTCTCCGTAATATCATAAGTCCATAACTGATATAGCTGATCAATTGTTTACGTAATAACATAAATAATATAGATTATAATTGAAAATCTTTAAGCTAGCTGAGCTAAGTTAAGACGTGGTTTCACAAATATCTGAATCCATAGGATTGGATCAAATTATAAAAGAAGTCATTATTTTCATTTTTTATATTATCACATGAACAATAAAAATTTACACGTCACTGACTATTAATTATTAATTAGTATAAAGTGATTAACCAGTTAATGTAACTTTGCAAATTAATTAACTGGTTAATAGTAGGTATAAATATATTGATTGGATGTGTCCTTTCATTGTTCTGATTCACATGAGAATCAATACGACAATAAAAAAAGCATCGTTAAAATGAAAATAATTTATTACTTTTTATATCATTACAACAATTAAAAAGTATTTTTACCAAATAGAACAACGTTAATTGATATTATGTTATAAATTAAAATTATTCACAAAAAAAATGGTTATTTATAAAAACTACATATATTAAAATAATTCTTTGAACGTGAAAATATTCAAAATAATAGATCTTCAGAATCCAGCTGGAATAATCTTGAAATTGTAACACTTGAAAGAAGTGATTTTATAACTGTTCCTGAAGAAATTAGAGAATATGAATGACTTGAAAGAGTAGCCAATAACCCCTTTCCAATATAACGTCTATTGCACCTATTAAATATTAGTAATATACATATTATTAAATTTACCCAAATAGTTATAAATTAAAAAAAAAAATAAATGAGTAAAATTTAATTTGACGTTTAGACTAGCATTTATAAATAGTTTTGAATTGTGTAATATGTTTACTGCTTGCGCCTAATCTATTCCATGTTAGCGTAAGTTTTTTTTTGCTCTTTGATTTTTGGATTATTAAGGTTAATATTAGTAAGTTCAAGAAACCCGTTATTTTTTAGGTTGATGACTTAGGACTTTGAATTTTTTTGTAAGTTTTATTAGTTTCGTCATTGATTCTTTAACCTCTTTAGATTACAATATTGGATTTTGATTTTACAGTTACTATTCTTAAACGGTTGGTTTGTTTATATGAATTTATAGATGATCACTGTGTAGGTTCTTTTCAGCTTAGAAATACTTATTATGTAATAGATAAGGGGTATG